TAATACAAATCTAGATGAATGAATTACTATTGGTCACAAAACTTAGCGACCTTGTTTAAACACAGCTTTTATGCACACAGAACAGCAGCAACATAGCAGCCAAATACATTAAATAGTCCAGCTTATTCTTGCCACGTAGCATTTAGAAAACACTTTATTTTTGGCTTTGTTTTTCTTTAATTTCTGCTGCTATTCCTGCCCCCAAACCCCCCTGGTTTATAGAAATCGATTCCCTCATTAAGGTTTTTCCAGCTGGACAAAAAAAAAAATGGAAAAAATCCTGGAAAAAACAGTCATCAAGGAGAACAGGCTTTCCGTCGGTCATCAAATTTATTAAAATTCGTTAAATGTGATTATCGTGGTATTTAAAATGCTTTATTTAAAACCATACGAAAAAAAAAAAAATAAATTTTCATTTTAAAAAATGAATAAATAAAATTGCATGAATCCAGCAGATGTCGCTGCGGATGTGTTGACGCACGCTGCATTGTGTCACAAGCATTTCCGGCTGCGGGATACTGCAACGCGTCATTCAAAAACAAAACATGGAGGAGATTGAGAATTTTGGTCCGGCTCCATCGCATTTAGAATCCGATGTTTGGAAGCATTGTGGTTTTAAAAACAAAAGGTAAAAATGAAGTTGATATGGCGCACGCAATTTGCAAACACTGCTACACCAGAATTGAATACTGTGGAAACACAACAAACCTAAAAACATCCATGCAGAGGCGCCATCCAGAAAATCAAGAGCCGCCAGCGCCGCAAAATGTGCTTAAACAAACAACTTTCGATTGCAAGCTAGCCCCAACATCTACGCGTGCAAAGAAGATTACAGAGTCCATCACAGAGTTCATTTGCCGGGATTTGCGACCGTATAGTGTGGTGGAGAACCGTGGGTTCAAAAAAATGATCAGCACACTGGAGCACTTTTTGGTCTCATTTTATCCTTTTGTGTTTATGGAATGATATTGTTATAATTAGGGATGTAACGATATTGACATTATCTCGATATCATCGTGGTTGGGTTACAATAATAAAAGGACAGGTGTCCGTTAAAAAGCAAGAGGATTAAACACAGTCCCGCGGAACAAATCGTTGTTAACTACATAGACCATGATCCTTTGCGCTGCGTTGTCATACCAACCATTCTTAAGCCAATAGGATTGCACGCGGATTGCACGCTGTCCTCACAAGCTCAAAGCAAGCTAGCATGGCCGACAGCGATAGTTGTAAGGATGAAAACAACAACCCCGAAGTTGAGATTGTGCCAGCCCCTGCAGCTTTTAGGTCAGATGTCTGGAAACATTTTGGTTTCGCCGTNATTGTGCCAGCCCCTGCAGCTTTTAGGTCAGATGTCTGGAAACATTTTGGTTTCGCCGTGTCAAAAAACGCAAAAGGAGAGAAGGTGGTGGACGGACAATGGACTATATGCAAGCACTGCCACAGTAAACTGCGATACAACACGGGAAACAAAAGCAATATGCAAAGTCATCTCACGACTCATCATCCAGAAAAGTTTGCAGATTCTCTCACAAAGAATGTCCTGTCCGGTCAAAAAACCCTGAAGGAGGCTTTTTTTTTTTTCTTGAAATGTAGATCTTTTGATCTTTCTGATGAAAAATGTGAACATAAGCTAACTGATAGGTCAGTGTTTTAAAAAAAAGGCTTTTTGACTATTTTATTTAAGTTATGTTCCTAAATACCAGTTTTAAAAGGCTGCTTTTACTTGCCTTGCACATTTAAACCTGACTTAACTTGACATTTGTTTGCACTTAAAGGGAATTCCCTATTGTTCTGGTTGTTTCTTAACTTGAACATTATTCACAGAAGAATCAACAGAATATTGATGTTCCTGACTACAGCTTGCACTTTAAAAGCACTATGTGATCAGCGTTTTATGATGTAATGATCCATAAATACAACAATAAATTACCTGTTAAATGGCAAAAGCAGAAAAAATGTCTATTTTTCTGCTATTATCATCACAAATACTATCGTGAGCTATTTAAGAGTACCGTGAGCTTTTCCACAATATCACAATAAATATCGTACCGTGAGGTCAATATCGAAATTGTATCGTACCGTGAGATTTTGATATCGTTACATCCCTAGTTATAATGGCAGCTACTTCCAAAATGTTTTCATTTCATTGAGTTAAAGGACCACTGAGGCCATGATAATCCTTATTTTGTTATTTTTGGTTTTATAAATCCTAAGGACTTTTTGTCAATGTGCCCACTCCAGCAATAGCAATATTTGTGTCCAGTTACAGTAATATTTGTTTTCATGGCAACAC